GATCTCGCCCGTCTTTTGCCTCCATCGCCATTCCCCGAATTGTGCACCGGTTGTGCGGGGCGATTTTTCCAACTCTCACTGCAAGCTACTCCCGTCATGTCTTGTGACATCCGCAGTTCCCTTACCATGCACGGTACAAGGCCATTCCCGCAAGATCGTTGATTGTATGCAGGAACGACTTGCCGATGATCTCAATTGTTCAGCGCAAGGTCTCGAATCTATGGGCAAGATCTTCGACCACGTTTTTCTGGACGCACTGGCGGCCTGCCCTCCGCCTCTATCTCTCCTCTTTGACCTGCAGTATGCAGTGCTTCTCCAACTCCTATTGCTTCGCACGGTGGGGGCCGCCGCAAGGCGGCATGGTTCAGGGCCTGAAAAAAGATGGTTTCGGCGCCACCTTGAAAAACTGGGGTACTTCCGAAAAAATGGAGTTTGTTTAAAACGACATTGCGAACTGACTGCCTAGCTGATAACACCAAAAATTTGGAAGCACAAATCAGACTTGAATTGAAAATTTTTGAAAAATTTTGGTGAAATTCTGAGAAGCTTTAGTAGGTATCCTAGGTTCACGTATTATAACTGCAATTTAATTTGCGACAGAGGAAGTATCATGTTTAAAGAATAACGGCCTACGCAGAGAGCGAGCCCCTATTGGTCCGAGAATATGGAGCATTTGGAAGTTTGAATGTATCCCATGAAAATGCAACGCAATAACACCAGTTCAGCATGACCAGCTGCTCCCAGTAATTAGTATCAAGAAGCCTACCATGCACGCACGCACCATTGTATATATTGCAGCAAAGTTCTGAAGTCGCGTTGGTGTGCTGTCAATGCAGTGCATCTACAACTCTAAAGATCTTGAGGCACGGGGTAAGCACCTCACATGGTGTACACTGCCAACTGTGCTGTCAATGAATTGAATTGCACGGCCAACCTGGTAGGGGGTGGTACGGTACTGTAAGTAACGTACACTGCACGTATTATCCTGCTCTGGTGCGCGCAACGACTGCCATGCATATTCGCCAACACTGAAAGAACAGACATGACAACTTTGATGACCTGCCATCCAGAGATCTCTGATCATCTCAATGCACATGTCCGGCACGCTGTGCACCGTCAGGAGGATTGTAAAACGAGCCCAGCTTACTAGCAGCTCATGTGAACGTGCACTGCTCGCAGCACAATTAGTAATTCTATCCGTGGTGAGCTGTGCTACCAACGCCTCCTATTGCACTGATCTCGGAATGCGCACATTCGCTGTAGGCCCTAGTGGCCTGGCGCAGAATCTATCAATTCCTTATCTACACTTATTCGAAGCAAGTAATTTTCCGTGGATCTCTATTTCTGAAAAATTCGGGATGGGAAACTCGTGGCGTCTGTGTAGACACTGATTTGGCACTTTTGGTTCACTCCGTTTATATGAAATACTTCTTTCGTCCAAGATTAATTTTACTCCATTTGAAAGACAAAATCCGTTGCAAGGACAGGCTCCCAATTATAAAGCAACTTCAGAATAATAAATATTGGGCTTCATAACCTTTAGACACGACCCTTTGAGCGTTGGGAAGATTTTGGTCATTTTTGACACCAACCATCGAGGTTTACTCAATAAAAAGACCCTCGATACAAAGTACTAACAATTCTACCAATGCTTGATGGTTTGGCTTGAAATTGGAAACAATAATTCAAACTGACAAGCACAATTTTTGGAAGAAATTTCATTGAAAATATGTCGGTGCGGTGGAGAAGCAATGCCCCAAAGACTTAGAGAACAGCTAATCTTAGCAGAGGAAGCAACTTTTAAAGTGGCGCAATGGAACAAACTCAACCGCAGTTTCGAGCACAACGGCTACAGATCTTTGCGACAAAACACTGGCCCAAGTACTCATGTGGTGATAAATTGCGTGTATAATGCTGGCTTGTCCAACAATGCAGTTTTCGCCAAGCAATGGCAAAAGCAATAAAAGCGAATTTCCGCAATAGGCTCCTATACAACTGAAGCCGGAGAATCCTGGCTAACACGAAACTCATGAGTATCGGCCAAACATGTGATGCTTGGTTCATGGCTGCACATATGCTCGTTGGAGGCCATCTAGAATACAAGGACCGGTACAGGACTCGAGCTCGAGTCCAACCCTGAGGCTATCAATAATTCAAAAGGTACAGGTAAATGTGCCACTACTTTATTGCAAAATCATTCCAACAGACATCCGTTTAAGCAACGCACGCCAATGGCACATTTCCAGGCAAGGTTGTTGCCATTGACATAGAGACCACTAGCACTGGCAAAATTTTCCCTCTCACATAGTTTGCAATTTGATTTTATCCATCACCCGTTGATGCACATGAAGTGTGCATTGTGTGAAAATGAGAAGAATTGCATCATCTGAACCGTGTCTTGGTGTCTGGTTCTCCCAGTGCGGTCACGTCAATTGTAGCGTTGGAATTGATATTGGCTTGAAATTTGAATGTTAACAGACGCATGACAGACTGAGGTAACACAGCTTTTCACTAGCGTTTATTGCTGGAAGTGTCTAGACAATGTTTCAGCTGCAAGCGGGATATTCGCCTCCATGCTACAGAATGACTCTGTGGCCCATCGCAATTCTGGTTTTGAAAGTTGATTTGAATTCCATAACATGGGAATTGTCGCCCGTTAAAAGCGCAAATGCTCTGGAGAAATTCAATATCGAACTTTGGGAGCTTGCTTCCTCCACGCCTTAGAAGTTCTCCACGGCAAGGCTTTGATTCTACTACTGGAGTTGTTCTTTGAATCATCATTTCCTGTCTTTTGGGAAACTCTGCACACCTGTGCTACTACATATATGAGAATATGCAGATTTATATGCAAATTTAGTACAAAGTCATGCGACGTCCATATCGCTTGACTTTGCATTAAGTCTACAATTTCCCAAGCAAGTAGTTTGCTTGTTGCTCAGCATGCATGTAACTTTGGCTTTTCATCAAGCAAAATGAGCTGTTGAAATTACCTTGTCCGATATGGGCGAGGTCTCATACATCAAACATGACATGCGCAATGTTGATCAAACAGATCAGTGGCAGACAGTTTCACACATGCCACGCTGACGATTGAAAGAAAAGAAAAATCTTAGATAATATATGACTGCATAGTGGGGCAATCTCCCTTTTGGAAAAGTAGAGAAAATCTGTGAATCGAGATGATTATGCTATTCGGGCCCTGGATTCCATTCTATCCATAAACAAAACTACAAGCATCGAATTGCATGTTCCACTGCAAGATGGTTGGACAAAAATAATGACCGATTCAAATTACATGCCATTGAGGTACGGCAATTATATCACAAATGTCTGTAATGATCCTTGCTAGAATCTTGCTAAAGCATGTGCAAAATGTGGGTAATTGGAACCTTTATGCTCTAGGTTAGGTCGAATATGAGATATTTTCTTGATGAGCTAACCGTGGGCTGGCATGGTACTAATGATATTATTAGTGTATTTTTAGTGTATCATTGGTTTATGAACCAATCGATTGGTTCGAGATCGATATTGATTGATTGAATTTGCATGTAAACCCCTTAATTATCCGCAACTTTTATTTACCTTTTGATGGTTTGCATTGATGGTGTGTTTTTTCCCCCAAAGTTCACAATTGCAATATAGAATAGCGCCATAGTGGGAAGGCTCCCAAGGAGCAATTCTGATACAACAAGCTTGTCTGGAATCTAGACAGGTATAAATTTTATACCTTTGTGGCCTTACTAGGCTATCGTCAGTCATTTGTTCCCAAAACTTGTGAGCAACATCCCCCTCACCTAAGGCGTTGTGCTCATCAGGCAGCCAGCCCTCATCCACTCTAGAATGCTCATTGGTCAGGGTTGCCACATGGCCACGCTTGCTGGCTCATGGGGGTGCAATTGAAGGTGCTAGATGCACTGGCAGTCGATGAAAATTTCCTTACTACTGATGGGGTGGTTCGATGCCGCTCTGGGCGCCTCCCGACGGCGCCCGATCACTGCCGATGGGCAGCCCTCACACCTCGCGGTGTGGCGTCTCGGGGCGCTCGCTTCCCCTCTCGCTCGCTGTGGTGGGCCCTCGTGATCCGATGGATCACCGGGGTGCGGCCAAGGACCCAAAGGTCCGGTGGAAACGGCTCCTCGCGCTTGGTGGCGGCAAGCGCAGGTGCTGGGGTCCGAATGCAATTACAGATTGTCAGACAGGCGTTGTTTTGCCGCTCCCGCGCAGCGCAGCTACTCACCCTATATTGGGTGGCCAGCACACCAGAAAACGTAATGTACAAGTGCAAAATGTTATGTAAATATTCCGGCATGTCTCCACCATTCCCCAGGAACTCACAACCACCCAAAATACTCCAGAAATTAACAGCCAGGGCCACTAAATTGGCCCCAAGAAACATGGCTGTAACAACCCCCAAGTAATTGGCGCCGTGACCTTTGTTGTTGAAGCGTCATTTTAAGGAAGCTTGCTTGCTTGCTTGATTGACCCCCAAGTAATTCCACAACAACTGCGGTTTCGGATGTTTTGGATAAGGGGCAACACAACAATTGGTTATAGCCAATTGCCATGTAGCTACATAACGAAACAATTGTTGGTGATGTAGATAGCTTTGAATCTACTTTCTCAAAGTGACGCGCGCTATGGGACCTCAATGGGTTCCCCCAATTTCCTTCATTTCTTTTCTCCGCCTTGTTTGTGGGACCATCTTGGTGGACTATCCTTCAACACTTGTTCTGCGCAAAAGAGTACCCCAAGGTGTTCCCGGTGCCTTACAGACCTCCCTCTTCTCCGCCATGTGCACATGGATAGCGGGATCCACCATCATGACCAAGATGTCGGTCTGGACGAATAGAACTTAACTAAGGTGCGGGTTGACGTGCAAGATACCAAAGAAAGAAAAGAAGTTAAAAGAAGAAAACGGGCCGGTGGATGGGTGTCCCAGGGAGTGTGGGCAGGGTTTTGCCGACGGTTTCCCTGGGCGACCTTGAGCCGAGCCTGTCGGCATGTACAAGCGAGACTTCGGCGTGCTTCTGGTGGCGGCTTTCGGCATATACTTCTGTCTGCAGAACGAGGGGACATTCTCTTTTCGAAAGGCCTGGTGGGTGCAGCTGGAGCGCGAATCGAGACTCGCACGCGTTCTCCATGTTGCCCGGAAGAGGAGGAAAGCAGTACCAGTGAGCAGGTGCCGATCGCCCCTCGCTCGACGCTGCGGGGACGCTCCAGCCGCAACGGCAACCGCAGAGTGCTGTCGCGTGTCTCCCTCGCTACGGGCCTGTTGTCGTTGTCTGGGCGTGTGAAGACTGTGCGAGGAATGAGACCGGTTTGGTTGATTGGTTCTATTCAGGTCTTGCGCTCCCCTTGATTTCTTCAGCGCTCGAGTGCCACACGTTGGATTTTTGTTGCTAGGGGCTATCGGATTGTTGCGGTGCTGGTGTCGGGCTGAAGAGAAAAGCGAAATGCTGACATTGGCTGCGCTGAGCATAGGTCAGAGGCGTGCAGTCAACGCTCGAAAACAGCAGCGGGCACATGCCGAGAAATCTTGATGTGAATTTCATTGCGCTTCCATCCGTAGCAAAGGTTGCTAACCATGCACAGGATACAGTGAGAAAAGACCAGGCTATCCGTTTTCCAAGAAGAAGACGTCTCCCATCCACTCACAATCCTTCTTTGCGATGCAGGTACCATCGCCTAATAGATGTCCCTGCTCTGCTATATGAAACAGATGTACTGCCTCAACCTGTCGTTGTAAGTGGCAAAGATGAGATTCACATCTGCCATTTCGGCACTTCTTCACATGCCCTCTCACCCCCCCCCCCCTGCATCTGCAGATTGACCTGAATGGGGACGGATCCTTGGAAGTGATTGCGGCGACACACGATTGCAGAATCCAGGTGGGGAGCATCCACCATCTGAAAATGGGAAAGGCCAGCGCAAAACCCCACCACACCAACCTCCCACTTCCTTGCCCCCCCACCCCACCCTGCTGACCTCCTTTCTCTTTTGGCTGCCACCAGCCTTGTTGTATGAGTTGCGTGTTGCCCTCCTTGTCAGCTGGATGCTTCCCTATTTCAAATGGTTGCCTGGGGCCGCCACCGTCCTTTCTTTCAGATGCCTAGCAAGAAGCCTCTTTCCCATGCCTGGTGCCTATTGGACCTGCTCGTGGACACCATTTTATGGCTTGACAAGTTGCTCAGCCAACCACTTTGATGCCCCACCAGGGATGAGAAATCAAGATGTGAGCCTCAACTTTCAGTGGACAGGAGCAGAGACTCTGGGCACCTCAGCAATGTGTGCACTGCGCAACTGGTGACTGAGGTTGTGTTCCATTCGCAGGTTCTCAAGCCAAGAGGCGTTGGGAGAGAAGGAGATGGATTTGCTAAGGCCCAAATCATGGCAGAACAATCCCTCCTGCCTGACAGGGTGCACATAGTTTCAGGACGGAGGGCGGTAAGATATATGCCAAGCAGAATATGGCATGAACTCATGTTGTCAAGGATTGTTCATGCTGGTGTTTGTTACAATGTGGGAAGTATGAACATTGGTCATCAGTTTTGTGTGGTGGTGGTAGTGTGCTCCTGTGCATCGATGCACTTGTGATGATACTCCAATTTGTTTCCGTCCTGGTAGTGCAATAGACTCTTGAGATGCAGAGAACAGGCAGCTAAAGACGTTGCTTTAAGATGACTGCCAAACCAGGATACAGTGGGGCATGAGCCTGAATCTGCCAGTTTCCTTGTGCCCATCTTTGTTATCAGCAAATCTGTTGACTTCTGTGGATATCTACTGCTCACTCTCTGGAGTAGATATTGTTTTTCTGTTTCGTTGCAGTGTTTGATGTGTCCCAAATTGTTGATTAACTGTTGTTAGATTTGGGTAACCTTGCCTTGCAAATGGTCGCCCTCATTGAAGCGAGGCCATGAACCTCTCTTGCGTATTGCGAGGCCAACTGCAACGATTTGGATGAAATCAGGTTGCGCTGTCCGCTGGTTTCATCGATCCGGGCCTATCCGAGTTTGTAAGGACACCCAGGAAGGGCGTTATTGTGGTGGTCACAGCAGATTCCCACGTTATTTGCTTCGACCACAATTTGAAGGTGCTTTGGGAGACACAGCTGGTGGAGGATGTGCCACATCATGCAACCCTTCAAGAGGTGGGATGAAAGAACTGTCGTTTGTTCTTGTTGACTTTGATGGGTTCAGTTCCTGGGCTTGAAAAATTAAAGAACCTGTGCCAGAGCATTACCTGTGGGCAAGTCTTGGATCTGGTGGCTCCATGTTCTTTATTTGGCCCACACTGGCTGGTTATTGCAGGATTTGCTGCAGGGGCTGTAAATCATTCATCTATTATGTGATGCAAAGCTGAAATTGGGTTGTTTTGTTCTCGATTCAAGAGTGCTTTGTTGAAAGGAATGCCCACCTTAACAGAAATTTCTAGCCTTCTCAGGTCTTGTCTTGTTTTAGCCAACAATGTTTGCACTTTGAGGCATGTTGACCATAGGTTACTCCAAAATGGGAAGGGCCAGCGAATGTTGTCAAACGTGGGCCTGTTTTGCAGTGTGTTGGTGTTGGTATGCACTTGTCGCCAGACCCTATGGGTCTGAAGTCCACCAGGAAATGCATGCCAGGTTTGCCAAGCTGGCAGTGGTGCCAGATCTAAGGTCCACATTTGTCACACTGATCGTTTCCCAAGGGCAGCCTGGAACCTCCCTGCTCCTGCTACATGTAGATAAGTGTTGATGGAATGTGGCATCTCGAGAATGGGAATGGTGAACGAGAAGATGTGTTGGATCTGCAGGTGGCGATCCACATATCGAATCATTCGATCGAGGAGGGAGATCGGGGCCTGGTCGTCGTGGGTGGTAGCATGCACCTCGGGGAGACGTTTGCCAACACAGCAAAAGGTAGTGCTGCTGCTGGAGAAAAGGAAGAGGATGCCTTTGAGGCAGAACTGGAAGCTGAAAAGCAAGAAAGAGAGCACATGGGGGAGCTTGGTAAGATACTCTGAAGGCAACTTAGATTATTTGATTTCATTGTCAATTTTTGATTTGTCAACATTCGTCCCATGAATCAAACAAGGGCAATGCAGAGGCGATGGTGGGCAATTTGTGAATCCAGAACTGTCCCGGAAATGTGACCCCCAATCTTGAGATTCCAAATGCTGTCACATTGGGTGTGTAGGCTCCCCCCACGTTGTCATTTTCCATTTCTGCTACATATTTCTTCTACATTTCCTTGTGCCAAGGAAGGGAATCGCTGTCTCTTGAGTTTCTTGTTGCGATAGGTGTGTATTATACAAGTGTTGCTGGACCAACAGCAGGAAAAGGGCTGTGGATAAGATGCTGCTGGTGGGCAATGTGCACTTGAGTGTCACAGCACAATGCCCCATCAAGGAATGGTGGTCAGTGTCATTGTTTGCTTTGTTGTCAATCTGCATTGCTTCCTGCCTGTTTGTGTCATTGAAAGAAGCTCCAACACTTGTTGTGCCAAAATTGATGCCAATGTGTTCTTGTGGGCGGTTGCAGGTGAAGCCCTAACCCTGGATGACATTGACGATGCTGAGGGCGACACAGCAGGGGTGGACTTGTCTCGCCATTTCTCATACCACGCATATGAGGCAAGCAAAGGCCGCTTGAGGTGGAAGCATGAGGGCACAGACTTCCATCGCGGCATGCAGCAGCTTGCAGATCAAATGATTCCACAGCACAATTACAGGTACCGCTTTCCTGGTGTCCACCCAACAGAAGGCCGCACAGGAAGTGCTGCACTGGAATGTCTCATATCTGCCTGACTTGCTTTGAGAGCCCTCATCACATTTTGCCAACCATGGAACAGATCGTCAGCACGATCGTTGATGCCTACATGGTCAAGGGTCGTCTGGATTAGCCAATGGCTTGCATGATGATCATGGCCCTTCTCTGCTGATCAGTTTTTCCATTTCTTGTTGCCCACTGGCGCCCTGTCGCACTGGCGAAGTAAAATGCGAGTTGTGTGGAAAAAGAAATATATGCCGCAACAATTTGCTACAACAATAATACTTACTGCGAGTTCAATGTGTAAAATATGTATTCACTGTGAAATGAATGTGAATCATACTACATCACACAACATAGACAGTGTGTCTATAAATGTTGTGTTTATGCATATGAATTAGTATGAATTGTAGTCGAAGTGGATGTCTGCAGATTCTGGTGACATCACGGATATTCTTGACTCCTTTCTGTCCTTTTTCAACCAGGCTGACAGCTGAATCCCTTGTGGGTCGCCACTTTAGCGAGGTCTCATGCAGAGACTACAGGGAGTCAGTGTTGCGGGTGCTGCCCCACCAGTGGAGCTGGCGTGGCGATACCCGGTTGGAGCTGGCGCACTTTGCCCATCACCGGACAGGAAAAGGAGAGAAGAAGAAGGAGCTGGGGGCCGGCACAGGGGGAGCTGCTGTGAAAGGTGGGCCTCAAAGATGCTTCATCAGATGCTGTTGTGCGGGGAATGTGGCTTTTGAAATTAGCCACAATAACTGATTTGATCCGTCCTTGCCAACTACTGTACATGCAGTGGAGAGCAGCAATGGCGGCAAGTTTTCCTGATGTTGGCTTCAAGTGTTGCCATTGTTGCATGTGCACTGCTTGGATTATTTTTTTCCTTGGTAAAGGCATGGGTGGTTGCTTGCATTATTCATACAGAATGGCTGTCGTAGTCATTTGTTTTTCAACTGCTTGTCAATGCCACATGTTGCATGGTTTATTCATTGCTCAACGTTAAGAGTTGCACGACTCTGTAACTGTGCTCAGAGAATTCTTGTTACCCTTCCACACAGGCTCGATTGCTGAAGGTTTTCACTCAGAATGCAGCGCCAGTTTCACATTGTGTTTTGCTCTGAACAGCCAAGCTGTACAGTGTATACTGGGTATATGCAAGGCGGTTCAAGTTTTTAAAGATTGCATGGCAGTGAACAAATCGTGGACACTGCTTTTTTCAGGCAAGATGGGGATCTGATGGCTACCTCATTGCCTTGATACGTAGTGCTTCGTGAATGAATAACGTGAAAGGAGTTGAATTTCGATGGGTACGCAAGGCAAAAGACAACGAATTTGTGTTCCACTTTCATGCTGATCCTTTGGCACCTGCACAATTGATTGCTTCTGCTCAGGCCGAGCTGCTACAGACCCTGTGTCGCATACAATTGCAAGCGTTGCGAGCAAGGCAGTCAGCGGTGGTCGTTCCAGCTCGACAACTGGGGTCCAAGGGGGCCAAAAATGGCTGCCACCAAACGTGCTGGTTGCTCACTTGAGGGAAGGCATTGAGGCAGTCCACATTGCTTCAGGTCAGTGTTGTTTAATCTGACACACTCTTCCACATGGCTATTCTGTGAGCTTTCTGGTGGCTCATACACTGACACGTGCACTTACACCATTCTGACCCCTTGCTGACTGCGCCGAGCTGCAAGGCTGGGGCCCAAGATTGGTCTTTGCAATGAGCAGGATAGACTGGCCCATCCTCCAATCTCAATCAGTCATTCAGTCAATCAGGTGTCCGTGAAAAGATATGGCTCATGCTGGTTGATGTGTTCAATAGACCTCACACAAGGATATATTTCTACTCTTGTGCACAGGCCGTACCATATGCAAGCTGCATCTGCCTGAAGGAGGGTTGCATGCTGATCTGAATGGGGATGGTGTACTTGACCACATACAAGCCACAGGTGAGGACCTATTCCCATAGTCTTGAGCTGTGCTGCGCTTTCAGGTGGTCCCCCCAGGAACGTTTATTGCTGTGGCCAATTACTCACTTCAGGAGAATCCCAGCCATTGTAGTGTCCCTTCTATTCGCATTCAGGAGCTTGTGACTATAGTAACCCATCAGGGTTGCAGGTTTGGAGCAGATGGTCAGTAGTGGGAGCAGATGGCACCATTTGGCCTTGACCATTGTGCATCGGACAAAAGCCGTCAGTCCCCCGACGATTCGGCACCCGCTTCCAACAAGGCTGCATTCCCACGGCTGTTGGCCATGTCTGCAAGTAACTGGGCGCTTAAAGGATTGGTGAATGACAAGTGCATCTGCTGCAGGGAGCCATGGGCCTGAAGAGCAAGGGGACGCGGGCCATCGCCATGTGTCACACTGCTGGGCAGTAGCCACTTCTGGGATACCCCCCCAGCAGCCCCTGTTCAATGGGTCAATATGTCCTGGCAAGGCAGGTGCTGTGTGGCAGCCGAAGCCACGACAGAAGGCAATACAGGTATGAGTAAATGGCCATGTGCTTTTGCTATTGGATTGCTTTCTGAACAGCTGGGGCACTATACTACAATCACTGAAGTCCCCACCCGAACCTTCTGGGGCAAGCAAGACTCTGTATCAGGCAAGGAGGGCATACACACAACTATCGGTGCGAATGGACTGCCTCCAACGTTCCATATGAGTGATCGAACATCTGAAGAAATTGTTAGCCCGGCTGGATTTTCGAAAGATCCTTGTACTTCGTTGCATGATCAAGGAATTGAAAATCCCCGCTTGCTGCTCTGCACGGAGTTGGCGCTTGTGAATGTGTGTGGCTCAACGTTGGGGCGACGCCATACTGCCTCATATCTGGGTTCTGGACGTTCTTTTTTCCTGAAGTTTAAATTTTTGGGTTCCGTTTTCGAAGGTGGGCCCTCCCGCAATCCTGCCTGTTCCATCCTCCACTGGGCACTACCGCCATGGACACCGCCAACGCAGCTACGCCCTTTTCCACAACAGCCGTGGCGAACTGACTGCATTGAACGCAAATGGCAACAAACAGTGGCAGGTAGGGGGATGGTGCAGCGGTGCCCGTGCATGCACTGGAGCTATCCCTGCTGACCCGCCTGGTCAAACTGGAATTGCACAACGCTTCACCCACCGTCAATTCCTTGCTGTCACCCGACTCTTGACACTGGCTCTCTGTGGTTCGGCATTGCCTGTTTGTGGATGCTGCTAAGAGGCCAAACGCACCATGTGAGAGCCACACATTCCTGAAGCGACAGTCTTAAGTCTCTCATCCTTGGCGGAATAGGGCGCACAGGTCTCCAGATGCATGAGAACATCCACGCGTTGACAAACAATGATGGGCAAGAAGAATGCACCCGATGGGTCGCACTGTGGCACAGAATTCTCAGCGTTGCACAGTTTTGCATGTCGCACTTCCATGGCAGAATGTTGCTGAGGGCAAAACTTCCAAAGCCGTGCCTTGGTGATGAATCGTGCGGTGGAAACGGGGTCATATGCTGTTGCCTTGATTTCCTTGTGGGACCAGTGGCATAAACATCACGTGTGAATTGCTGCTGGTTGAGACCAGCCCGTGTACCGTGTGGTGGTGAGCGATTGCAGCTGTGGCCAGGTGAGTGCGGGTACAGACTGGAACCCTTCCAAGGGCATGGCCTGGATCGCGCCCAAGGCCGTGCCCACGCTCATCGCCTTCCCCCTCCGGACCCACGCCATCCCGACGTCCATTCTGGTCGCTGGCGGCCGCACGGCTGCGGTGTACTCCGAACGCGGCCACAAACTGGATGGCTTCGACTTCCCTGTACCTCCCGTGTCGCCCCTGCAAGTCGTGGACTTCAACGGGGACGGCCTGAACGACATCATCCTGTGTGCACGCAACGGCTACTATGGCTACGCGCAAGTGCGCCATCCAGGGGCGTTGCCGTTCAAGATGTTGGTCATGTGCTTAATCGTCGCCATGGGGGTTGTGTATCAGACGCAGCACTTGAGTGCCGCCAAAGGCGGGCAACGGACCAAGAGGAGCACTGATCGAGTGACGAAGGATTGAAAGCTTACTTATGCAGAGACGGCGGAGTTTCTGTGTGCGCGGCGATGTAGTGCAGGGAATTGCAAACTCGAAAGGACAGAACACAGCAGCAGCGACTACACCACGAGGGATGGCAGCACACGTCAACCGCACGTACGAGGCATAAATCTTACTGATGCTCGCAATTGGACTCTCCAAGCGGTCCACAGAGGAATTGCCTTTGTAGTGGCTCCTTTTCACAGTGGAAAGGCAGGAGGGCATGGGTGGCGACCGTTTGCTGCATCCACCTCCACCGGGTGGCAACATGGTTGACATGCCTCCTCGTCCATGATATGCAGATGCAGATGTCGTCGTACTTTCGTGCTTTCCAAGTCATTTCACATTGCCAGCTCGGACCCCTCGACTCCATGCAATTAAATACCATACCAATCATGAAAAGAAATGCATGTGCCAACGCTGAACCGTTGCTGGCGACCTCACCAATTGTCAAAATTGCCATAACCGTTGCCAGATTTCTTGGCCTGCTTGGGCGCCTGCCCACCGGCATCTCTCTGCTCGTGTTCGGTTCCCTTTCCACCGTTGGATTCACTGGTTTTAAGATTATGATCCAGAGCCTTGCCAAGCCCAGAAGAAGATGCCGGCATTCTCAAATATCGACCAACCTCCGACCCACCCGTCTTCAAGTCTGCCAAGGACTGCATTTTTTCATGGCGGGCTTGTCGCCCCGGATCGCTGAACCACAGGCCTTTGCGATCGTCCTCTTCCATTTGTTTCGCCTTGCGTTCTTCGTCTTCCTTTTCTTTCCCTTCTTGCTCCTCCATCTCCCGGTATGGGTTGGTGAATACTGTCACGCCGGTGATGGTGATCGCCTGCACAGCGGAAAGTAGGCTCTCACATTGCAACGCAAGGGTCAATTCGCCGCAAGCATGTCACACCACTGCCCAGCGCAGCGACACCAGCATGACACAGACCAGTATCAATGCAAATGGACGATACATCACACGGATGTTTCAACAGATGTTCCCCACCGCGTCAAGTAGAAACATTGTTGAGCCGCAAGCGTTCCTCCAACGCATGGCCGTGTGGCTGTCATATCATGGCACGTGTAGACTCCAATGGCATATGAATCCACAGAAGCAAGCCCAGATAGTGAATTGTTTCTTCGCTTTGGTGGCGGATTAAAATGACTACAAAAGGCAAGACGAGTCCACGTCTTGTCGAGAAATGCCGCCCCGCTACGACAAGCAGCTCACCCTGTCAACGAGCCCAATATCCACAGACAATGAATTTGATGTGCAGCCAGTGGACCAGCACCCTCTCACGTGACCAACTGATGCTCGCCCATGATCACCCCCATGAAGGATAATGAACATCCAGAATATCCACCGATGGTAACCACCGCCTGGGTAAATAGTGGCGCCAACTTCGATGGCTTACAGTTGTCACAAAGCTGTGACAAACAAGCCCTTGCCCTTTTCCCGTGGCGCTCGCACCAAAATTGCACAACATGAAAAGGAGGCAGAGTTATGTTTGTTCTGACAAATGCAGCTGAAATCCAACACACCTGAGTGGGTCGGTCTTCGTCATCGGTACTGACTTTCTCCATGGCAGTCAGGGTGTCTAGGCCACCCACAACCTTGCCAAAGACTGTGTGCTTGAAATCCAAATGATGCGCTGACTTGTACAGTATGAAGAACTGGCTGCCGTTGGTGTGGGGTCCCGAGTTCGCCATGCTCAGGACGCCACGGCCAGAGTGCGTGAGCCTAGAGTCCAGCTCATCCGTGAAAGTGGGCCCGTAGATGGATTCACCTCCCTTGCCTGTTCCCGTAGGGTCACCTCCCTGAGCCATAAAATTCTTGATGCTGCAGAGCCAAAATGCGCAAGGAATATGTTTAAACTCTTGTTTGCCTGGTCAGCAAAAGCACTTCCACTGCACCTAAAGTAATCGACAAGAATGCAATGCTGGATGCAACGGTTGCGTGTCCGCAAGGATGCTGGTGGCCACAGCATGGCAAAGATTACCATTTCCAAGATTTAGCCTTGCCCCCAAGCAGATTTGCATCTGTGTGATGCAGTGAGTTGATCTCAAGGCCTCAAAATGGCAACGTTACACAGAAGAGCAAGTCACCCAATTTATAAAAGCAACCTGCCAGTACCAAAACAACTTGACAATTATGAACTGCATTTGCGCTTCATATGGCCATCGGAAAGAGCACAATTGATGTTGACCTTATCACTATGCTGAACACAAGAGGTGCACATAAGTACACACTGCAGTAACCTCCATTGGCGAGGTGGGATTCTATTGGCATGAGCTTGCATTTCTACACAGTGCCAATCACAACCTCTTACCTTCTATGGAATACAACCCCGTCATAATACCCCATCTCACAAAGGCCAAGGAAATTTTCACATGTCCGTGGGACAATGTCGCAATGGAGCTCGATGTTCAGGTCGCCCAGGCTAGTGTGCATCCGCAAGTAGCCCTTCTTCTTGGGATTCCTGTCCAGGCGTATGAGTCGTCTCTCACTCTTTGTGGTCGAGGCCATGACCGTCGAAGTGAATGCACGAGACATGGCACCTGATGAAACGATTTCTGGGTTAGCATGCAGCGCATTTGGTGCAAATGATGTGGTACGACCTTCCCCTTGTCAGGTCTGTGACATTGATGCTCCTATATTTCTGGAAGTAAAGCGCATTGTAGTCCCATCCAAAGTCTCCACCAAAAGCCCACCAAATGTCAAATAGGACAGCAATGAAACTCTCAAGTTACAATTCACACGCACAGCATTCTGCAGCAGTTGTTGTACACCAGTACCTACCGGTGGTCTCATTAGCTTCCACGTATTTCACGTGTTTCTCATACAGTTCCTTAGGTGTGGGTTTCTTGGCTTTAGCTGGCTCGTTTGCATTTTCCCCCTGAGCTGCAGCCAGTCGCTTTCGTTTCTTCGACTTGCTTTCTGGCTGGGTGTAATCGTCAGTGTCCCATGTTGACGCCCCTGGCTTCATCGGCATCAGCTGTTGTCTCTCAGGTGGCTGCAAGCGCCAGTCTCCTTGACCTACAATGGACAATAACGTTCAGCACTTGATGGGCAATTCTTGTTCTCCAAGGTCCCCCCATCGCCTTAAAAAGACAAGAAGTGACGCAAGTTCTTTTCTGGTTAAACTCGACTTGCGTGACGCTGTTCAGACTGTATAATATGATTCTTCATGGTCTAGTTCTGTCCTGACTGGACTAGTTCAAGCTGAAAAAAATGAAACATTGCTCTTGCATGTTGACGGAGCTGACCCGCAATTTCATCAACCTCGAAACTGTGAGGCTGTGCAAAAGTATTCAGAATCTGCAAAGTGTCTATCCCAATGCAAACAAATTGACCATGCATGGCACATGTACCTGTTTTTGCCACTTTGTCAGATTTGCCCTCCTTCCTGGCCTTCTCTTTGGCGTTAGCCTCCGCAAGAAGCTGCCTTGCCTGTGCGTGACGGCCACCTCCTCCAGCTTGGAAAGCAGCCTGAGAAGCAGCTGTGTTCAAAGACTCCAGTGCTCTCTTGGTGTCGTCACTGATGTTCCGAAACACATCTTTCTCGTCAGCCTGAGAGTCGCCAAAGAAAGGGGTCTCAGAATTGCCATGCAGCTCTGTGGTGTCTGCCACACTGCAGTGCACCCCACTGCTGTGCTGCACTGTGCCACTGTCATCATTCTCGAGCACCAAAAGCAGCACTCTGGGACAATAGGCTTTGTGGACATGGACCCACACATTGCCTCTTTGACTGACAGGAACCTGATGGATGTTATGTGAAAGGTAGGCTGGAGTGTGCAGTTGTTACAACAGCCCTGTTGAGATGCAATTATGTGCCTTCTTAGCTGCTGGAGGGGTGACAAGCACTGATGCTCAATCTGGGTGCCAGGATGAACTATTGTTAAAACTAGCATCCAGCTGTGTTGATTCTGGACAGCCATCCAAAAATAAAAATGCATAGTTGATACATTTCACGTACCTGCTCCACCACTGTCTTTACAGTGCCCCTGGAACCTGGTGTCAGCAGAGGTGCATACAGAGTAACAATGGTGCGGGGGTTCTTGGTTCGTTGGTACACAAGTGTTCTTTTGTGACGTCATTGCTATTTACCCTCAGCACATCCTAGGACAAGCGTACTTCCTGGACCCTAGCAGTTCTTTGACACTGGTGCCACTTGGAAGGGCCACACAATCCCTCGCAATACTGTTCTGTTTGGCACGTGAGAGAAGCATGTGAGATTAACCCCGCCATTTTGGCACAACCCGAGAGCATTTGCTGGAACACTTGCTGGAACTTCCTGTGGGGAGGGCATGCACCATCAATATTCCTTTTCCACTTTGCAAAAAAAGGGTGCAAGTGCTCGCCACGATGCAGCAGCATTCGCTACAATCCTCCCCCAACCCCCCTTCCCAACACCCGCTCCTCCCCGTCTTACCTGCTTACCCACCCACCAACCAACAACAACCCCACCCCATACCCAGCAATCCGTTCTACCTGTTCCTCCTCAACAATCAGATTCTTCCTTATGTGGTCAAACTCCCTGACGTCCCTCACTTTCAAAGGATCCTGTATGTGGATGATGTCCTTTCGATGAAAGGGTTCGTCAGTCAGCAAATCTTTCCAGTTTTTTGGCTTGATGTTCAGCTCATCAACAGCCTGCAGAGCAAGCACACCAGTGTTTACTGTGCTCAAGGATCAGGAAGCTCATCTTCGGTTTTCCTGACTATTTCCTGCCTTGACTTCAGGGGGATTGAAAGGCACTTCTTCTCACCATTCACTGCAAACAGGAACACCAAAAACTGTATGGACTCCATATTGGCCCTTCTCAATGTTGCCAGAATGGTGTAAAGAATTGCTTACTCATGGTTTTGGCACATGCAACACACTCAGCCATACCAACGCTTACTGCGTACTTTTCTACACGCTCATGGTCCCAACATTTCCCTTCCACCGGCTTTGGTGAAGCATCAAAGCGTGTTGTGTTGTTAGGTCTCCACAAGGCAAACCAGGATTGTAAGGTCCACAACAATCGCAGCCACTGCCGCAGCCACCCTGGCAGCCACCCCACCCACCATCATGGAATCGCCTGCACCAGGCCATGCATCGAAGTATACTGTTGTATGACTGTTGCACACTGCTGATATGTTGGATTTGCTTTCAACATCAACCGATCACGGCTGCCAGTTGAATTGGTCATGATCAGGTGCCATTATGCACTCTGTTTGAAACTCAATCCCGGCTATTGGTCCCAACAGGGGTGCCCAAGACGCGACCACTGGCACTGGCAGAGCCACTGTCTGTATGGCTGTTTTCATGCACACACTGACATAAGTGGACAAAAAGGCCCCAATCAGGAGACAATCTTTGAGGTTGCGGACACATTCGGAGATCTCACGGCACTGGATGGACATATGCTGCATGCTGGCGTAAAGTTTCCAGCAAAATTATTACATGCTTGCTTCATTGTGATGTTCGTCGCTCTTGAGTGATCTCCAAATGCAGACGGAGGCTAATCCACCAGTTCTAAGCGTCAAAAGAGCAATTTTCTCAGGATGTGTATGTTGATTGCTTCGGATGTTCGTTTGCTCTCTGCATTTGCTGTATGGGCCCATTCGCCATGCTCTGAACGCTGATGAACCAATATGCAATGCGCCCACTCTCTGGTGCTTCGCGCAGAATGTGTGAACGTCAGTTCAGTTCCCTTTGGGTGGCGGAAAAACATGTTTCTCAAACCCCAGCCCACAGCACCTTGTAGCAATACACGTTGCCAGTGGTCCTCACAGCCACAATGTGTGTGTGCTCCGTGAAGACCTTGTTCATGACGGGGCAGTGATACGATCCTTCGGCGTTCTTGTGGAACTTCAGCTGAATCAAATCCTTCAACTCGAGGGGCTCCCCCGTTACTGGGTGGCGGTGGTACTTTTGGATGTACGGAACGGCGTTCACGATGTCGAAGACTGATCCGTCCGCTGTGCACACCTGACCCACCATGGCGAGAACCAGCGTTGAGGAAGGGCGCTGTGTTTCCGCATGCTCATTTCGGGCACGCAACACTAGCGGCACACAACAAGGCAACAGCGACCCCAACCGCAGAAGATATTTGCGAGAATCGCTAGCCAACTCTTCCCCACGAGCCTCTTGGCACCATGGCGCATTCATCAGGCAGAGCTGCCTCGGCGCCCATCCTGCCGACCTGGCACTCACCGCGTCTTCGAAGGGGGTGAAGCTGATCGCGCAGCAATGAAACGGCAGCTTCGTGAGCTGCACGTTGCCCGCCGCCTTTGCACCACCCCACTCCTCCTTCCATTCCTTTGTCGTTAAATACAGCCGGTCCTTAGCGTGCTGCTTCTTCCCCATTGCGAGGGCCCCGTCCGCAACCGGCACAGGCCAATGCCAAGTCCTCGGCTAGTGCCCCGGCTGTGCATACTAACAGCCGATACTTGCTCATTTCTCGTGTTGCCCACCCCAGTCACCGCTTTTTTTGTTGATGTGAACGGCATGTGCGCAACACAAATGACATCTGGAAATGAGACGCGGCGTGCCTGACTCAGGTACGCCAAAATGGCAACCATGATCCGAGGCCAACTCAACCAATTTGTGGTCTGGAGGTGCTCTTTCATTGGGGTGGCGAGCTTGTGCACATTGGTGCAGCATTTGTTGGTGCATTGGCGTGGGGTCTTTCCAATGGCAGCTCGATTTCAGAGTGGGGATGGCAGGCGCACAGGCTGCGAAATACTAGATAGGCGATGTTCACTGGTGTCAGATGGCCGTTGGCAGGTTTTGTTTTCTGCAGATGGAAGATTGCTGGGTCCACAATCATCAAAGTACAGGACTGAATTGAGCCCCCTGAAACAAGTCGCGCCAGGAGCGGTGGATGCATTGTAATCATACCAATCAAAGGTATGCCACTGCCCATCCCAGTGCTCATCTGCCTGCGTTCCATAGTTCTTGTATCTTAGACACGTGCACCGGTCACTAAAATCAGTCACAAAACCTTGAACAGCTCAAACGCTTTAGGTTGCATCCCCCAGTTGATCAGAAAATTTGCTGATGTGGAATTCAGTACCGTTGCAGAACATCCGGCCCAAGGAGTCTCGACACTACCCCTGCCACTGCTCACTGCCTTATTTTGGCGTCAAGCACCCTGAAACCGCTATTGGTGCACCACTCGCATTTCCACAGACGGACAACGCGTTGTCATCGTCACTGCCACCAATAAGTCTATATTCGTGATCAGATGCTTTCCAAAGGGGTGTTGGGTGCTCACCCGTTGATTTCAGCACATTTCTTGACTTTTCTAATGGCAAAGACGAATAGGGACTGTACATCTTGCCAAAGCTGAAAGTGATACAAGAATTTCTGACTCGCTCGAATTCCTAAGAATGGAAATGCATTTACACAGGCTACGCTCAATTTTAACATATTCCTGCACATCAAATGCAACACATGCGCCCCCCAGGGCCCAATCAATGGAAACTGTGCGTTTTGGCACACACCCGCCTGCTTCTCGCTACGCGACAGACGGCCACATATCCTGCACGGATACCGAGAGCGTGCGCTGAGCCACGACATCCATGCCCGAGCCTTCCTAACCGTAGGGAAGACATAGGAAAGGCAAATGGGCGTTACCTCTGGAAGTTTCGGTTCCTCAGGTCGGCATGATCCCAGTACTTTGGAGAACGTACCCCCACAGGCCATGAGTTCAACACACTCCCTACGGTAAAGAATCCGTATCCTGTATATGGACTTGGATATGGGAGGTCCCCATATCCTGAATATACATATCCAGTATTTGTCGTATCCTTGATAAGGGTGCTCCACAGTGTGGAGTCCACATGTAGGATGTGGAGCCTCCATGACCTGTATACGGCAAGGACATGGATGGGGAATTGGCCATATCCAAGGATAAGGGTCCCCATTATCCTGATATTTGGCCATCTCATGGATATGCATATCCAATATCTGCCATTTTTTCCCGGCAAAAGGCGGTATGGGGCTGGGAGATGCAAGTACAAGTCATATGATGACTGACATTATTTGAAAATATATTGATACTCCAGAATATCAAAACCGCTCCAGCCTTCATGAAATTTCCTTGCATTTTACCGGGCCTACCATATACGTTTTTACGTTTACGTTTTTATGCGTAAAAACGTAAATTTGCAAAAGGGGCCATTTTTACGGCTGTATTTACTTTTCTACGGCTCGTTCTGATACCGATAGAACACGATAAAATCACGCACAATGATCAGTCATCTACCTCCCCGAGCACCCGCAACACAGCGCCGACTTTGCACTCGGCAAGGACCACGATGGCGTGGAAAAAAGTTCGTTTGCTGCCCATTACAGCGCATCTGGCTGCTACTCCCCGGACATTCGAAGGCTGTATGTAGTTTCTTATAAACAAGGGGCTGTATTTACGTTGTATTTACGTATTTTTATACCTTTTTGCGGGTAAAAACGTAAAAACCATTTTTACGCGTAGAGACATAAATACGATCTGTGTTTACGGCGTAAATAACAATCCTGCTTGTGAGTAATCGATGAATGCAAATCGATTTCAAATTTCAAAGTTCCAAAGCAATGACGCTGGTTTTGGCTCTTGAGTTCTCGCATCAATGGCAAGATGTTCCGTACACTAGAAATATTGAGAAGCATGTCTCAGGTTAAAGCGGCTGATTTCTGGATATCTGATACCATCAATAGAAGCTTTCATGAAAAGAAGGGCATCGCTTGGTGTTGAATCGTTGTCATTTTCTGTGCTTTGGCTGCTAATGCAGCGAGCATTTTGTCATGTGAAAGATTGCCCGTTTCCCAAATTCGCGGCTCATATGTTGGTGGGCCTGTGTTGGCGTGTGGAGCCGTGGGCTAAAGCTCTAGAGCTAGCATGCAGCACATCACAGCGGACCACCACTCGCAAACTGGTGCCAGCCATGCAGCTGGCGCCAGCTTGCGAGCGCTGGGCGTGTGCGGCAGGCCTTTCTCGCGATCGGTGAAATGGTGCGATGACTGATTGGCGTGATGGAAGTCGTGATGCAAATCAAGCGTCAGACGTGTGCCAATTGCATAATTCAAAGAGCCTCAAATCTCTGTCTTCTCTCAATGTGTCGTACAGCTGTCAAACTGCACCGACCTTCGTGTTTGGTATCTGCACCAACACGCGGGCCATTACATACCCAAAGCGACCACGATGGGTGCCTGACCTCTCCCAGCACACCCAGGGAGATTCGGTACATTTCGGTACATTACTTACCGAAATGCACGTTGTGCATCAAAATGTACGTTATCGGTACATTATGTATGGAACGTGCATACCGTGCATAGGTTCCATAAACATATGTATGTGAATGTAGTCCGGTGTATGATCATCAGTGCCAATTAATTGGAAATCATGATATTCGCTTCTCTGCAATGGTGCATAGTCAATACACTTGCACAACACTCCACAAGCAGTAATGCAGCTTACACTGTATCTATAACGCCCAGCCCGCCTTCACGGCGCTTGCAGACACGCGCTGGGGAACATTTTATTTTTTGGGGATGATATGCTGAGGAGCGCCCAACGCTATGAGCCTGTTGATTGCGCCGGAGTGTTCAACGTCCCAGGCCAATTTGCCCTGCATCAGATGATATTCAAATGCAGTAGAAAACCGTGCCAAGTCCAACCTGGTAGACGGATTGCTCTGCCCAGGTGGCGCCATTGCAGGGCCTCGCTGCACGCCTGTTGGGGGTGGAAGGGTATCAAGGGGTTGGACTCTTCCATATCCGTGACCGGTTGGTTGGTAGAACATTGGGACATCCCATCAGAAGTACCCCGTTCGATCCCCGGTTAAGTTATCCTCTTCACCATCCGCACCAAAACAACACCACGGGCAGAATCATCAGCCGCTGGCGTCAGCACCAATCCTATCGGACAAATCAATTTGCCGGAGACACGGATGGCCAGTAATTGAACCAAGCGCTGACGTGGACACGGAGGCAGCCGCTGAAGGTGCGCATCGCCCGAGCATCACCACAGCAGGCGCTGAGCACACCATGAACGGTGGGCGTGTGGACAGACGGAGCTGGCGTCTGCGGCAGAAACGGATCGCGGCCAGACTGGCGTCCGCCGGGCAACCACAGGCCACCGATGCGGCGAGATGTCCACAACACTGTCGCTCTGCGGCGTCAGATTCCCACCTCTGGCCAACGCATCCATTGCGATTGGGGACCATTCCCATGCAGGAAAAACTGATGCGGCTCGACTGATGTCGGTCAAGGGTCTGCCAGTCGCTGATCGCGATGGGACGGCCCAGGGCATGGCGAGTCCAAACTCCCTGCACGTCAAATAGGGCGACAGGACGAGCCCTGCCGGTGTCGGAGTACTTTTGGCGATCGCACAGGCAGCCCTCCACCCAAGCGTTCCGTCGGGAGCCGCCACCCTGTTGCGCTCCTTGGTGAGTGGTCCCCGTCCAGCAGCGACGGCCACCCTCCCGCCATCGTTGGGGGCAATCGCCAGCTCCCCGCTCTGGCTGCCCCCACCCTCCTGCCCGCCCATATCCATCGCTTCTTCAATCCGCGCTCGACTCAGCCGCCGCATTGGCCCTCCTCAGGATCGCACCTCGATCGCCAGGGCGGCGGTTCACACGGTCACGCCCCCCCTGTGCTGTCGCAGGTTCCTCTGAGCGCTCCGTTTACGCCCGCCTGACCTCCAGCCATGGGGTTCCCAACATCCACGATCGGTGAGTGGGCGCCACTCGCCGCGTCCACACCGTTTGCGGCCTAGTTTGTTGCAATCCCCAGCCCGTTGCCCAGTCCAATTGCGTGCACCAGCGCCGAGGGCAACGGGAGTGCCGCGCTGACGCCTCTGTGCTAGCTGCCTGGCGCTCCGCGGGGGCCACCTGTTGCTATCGGCCTGACGCTCTCCTCCGCCGAACAGGTTTCCCGCGAATGGGCAGGAACCGAGATCTGAAGCGCGCCCTCGAGAGGTGAGCCAAACGGGTGTCCGCACAGTGGATTCCGATCTCGTGTCCAGCTCTGCGCCGGACAACGAGTTGCGTCCCCAGCGATCAGCTCCGTGTGTGCGGATGGCGCTTCGCGCGGATGTGGCGGCTGGACGTGCGCCCCTGATGGAACCTTCAGGAAGGGTGTAGGTCGATGCCCCTCTGGGCGGCCTGACGACGTCTTTGCTGTCACAGTTACTGGAAGGGCAACTCCACGGCCGAAGAGCTGGTCGCCGTCTCCAACGAGGTCCAGAAGAAGGCGTGGGCAGCTCAGAAAGACGCGGGTGCGCTCCCTTTCCATAGCCACTGCGGAAGTCCACGTGTTCAACCCCCAACAGCAGGGCGCGAATGTCATTCACCCAGCCGCCGCCCTCCGCCATGATCGCGGTCGCTGGCGCACGCCTTGATTCCGCCGGAAGGCTTCCAGTGGTCAGTTTCAAACGGCCACGCGGGGTCGGGCAAGAACCCATGCGCTGGGTGCTGGATCCCCGTGGCGGCAGGGCCCTGGTTGACCTGATTCGGTTTGTCTGCACAGGCGTCTCGCTGATCGGCCTGGACGGCACGCTGTACGATCAGATGCTGGACTGGACGTTCTACCTCGGCCTGGCGCCGCCGAGGTTCCAGGTGGGCATCCCCCGGGGGCCTATTGGCAAATCGGACATTCGCAGGAAGGGGAACGCCTCCCGGCATTGGAGGTCAAACTTCACGGCAGGGCGAAGTGTGCGCGGCAGTGCGGTGCATCGCGCAGTGCGACTGTGGACGGCAATGGCCCTTTAGCGCTGTGTCTCCGGGAACATACTCAGTCATGTTTTCTGTGTTAACGTCATTGATATGATGAGAGCAGGTCCGCACCAAAAACGGTGATGTCAGTTGCCGCGAATATCAAAGCACGGCTGCTGTGCGCTTGCAAGCACCAGTTCTGGTTATGTTGTTGTGCGAATCATTGCGTGGTCCTGTGGCAAGTCTGGTGGATAGTTGGCATTGAAGGGCGCTGTTTGTCTGCCATGTTAACAGCGAACAACTATAATAACAACGTTGTTGTTCTAGCCACTGAATATCCGTCCAGTCATCACGAACAATGGACAGGTGCCAAGATGTTGGCCATTATCATATATGATGATAAGTACAGCAGTGTAATAGTAGCTTCGACTTCAACAACTGCCCCACAAGCTACCACTATTCCTCATATCATTTTGAAACCAATTGATATGAATTGTTCATCAGCTTGTTGTTGAGATGTGGTGACTGTGCTGCAGTTTACTGCGCTAACACATGCACATGAGATGGAGAATGTCATGGGCTTATGTAACCACAGTGATCACTGCGATGTGTTGCATGCTGTTTGGATGCTATTATTTTAAGTACCTGGTTTTAACCTGTTATGGTATGCTTTGCAGCACCTTACAGCGCTGGACCAATACTTCGCCATGGCCCGCGGTGCTGAGGGCACTCCGGCGCTGGATATGTCCAAGTTCTTTGACACGAATTATCATTTCATGGTGGGTTACATTGGTTGGCAGATGTTGATAAGAATCCTGAGTTTCATGGCATTGTCAGAAACTTTTGATTCTCAGTCTGTAAACTTGCAAAATGCTTTGATAGGAAAGCTTTTCAGTGTGATGAATTTTCTGCAAAATGTTTTGTTGCAACGTGTAAAATGGCCGATTTTTTACTAGTGAACCTGTAACCAGTGACATCTGTCTGTGCCAAAAACACGCTGACGACACACACGATCGTGTGCTATGTGTCGTGACGCATACCATTTTTTGTCTGTTGCTGGAGGTTGAGTCAAATATGGATGCACAAGCACCAAGTGCTGTCTTTGGCCTCCTGACAAGTCAATGACTTGCCGGTTGGACTGATGCTGTTTCAGGGTCTGCAGCATTGCACACAAGATGAGCAGGGCAGTGCAGGAAGACATGCCAGGCTTGCGAATAGGTCATCTGCCAGCCGAGGATCCACTAACACAAAATGGAAGGTGGATCCTCAGCTGGCAGATAATGACGTCTTTACAAGACTTGACGCATCGTCCTCAACTGTACTGCTTGTCTTGAGTGCAATGTGGTACTGCATTTTGGAAACGGCAGAGCAGTGCGTGCAGTAGCAAATGTGTTAAGATTTGCTGTCCACCGTGTATTGGGTCATTGTCCACTCTACAATGCTACAGCGCTGCTCCCGCCAAGGCCTGCTATCGAAATCGGTCATGGAGAAGCAGGCGAGCTGAACAAAACTGCAATAATGCACTTCTGGAAATGGATTGCAAGCGTCATCGTTGTGCACATGTGTGTGTCTGTATGCTAATGCACTGTTTGATTGCACATGTTTATTACTGCCGGTGAATCTAGCAGTAAAATGTTGATGCAAAGTTATCGGCATGTGCCACATCGCCACTGACATGTCTCCGATAGGAATCCCATCCCCTCGGTCGTGCAAAGGCGTATATGCTGACACAGTTGTGTGTTGCAACAGGTGCCTGAGCTTGATGATGCCTCTGAGCCTAAGCCAGACTTTTCCCTGCTCTTGGAAAAGGTGAACTAGGATGCTGCTCATCCTGAATGCATATGCTGTGACTGATATATTCCCCAGTACTGTTTGAAATGTGATTGGAGGACAAAACTGTTCCCGGGCGGTCTCCTTCGCTTGCACCACGACTCAAGAATAGTGCATCGAATTGGTCCAAATCTGAAGGTTTTTCGCCCGTTGGTCACTGCAATTCATTGGTTCCTTTCACGGTCATGATTCTGGCTGAAGCTGGAATGCGCTGACTTGTGGGTGCTGCCTTTCTGCTGTACAGGTGAAGCGGGGCCAGGAAGTCGTCGGCAGCGATTGCGCTGTCCCCATTGTGATCGGTAGGTCGCTTCGTTGGCAGAATTGGCATGTTGTTGTGTCTGGTGCCTCACAAGCAGAGCGCAGTCATCCTCTTCGTTTTGGATGAAACACTGGTGGCAAAACGGCATGTTTGTGATGCCAACTGCGATGCCATTTCGACAACAAATGGTGCCGTCACAGTGATTACGATGGCGTAAAGTGGGTGTGATGACATCAATTCTTGTCGACTGGCATTGCAGTTGGCATCGCAAGAATGCTGTTTTCTGCTGGTGGAAGTTCAAACACAGTGGATAATGTTTTATAACATTTGCTTTGTGATTTAGCGCTGTTTCGTTATCCACTGTATTTGCAGAGGCAGCTACCTCTTCTACATGTACGTATGTGTGGTGAATACACCACCTATACATTTGAGCACACCACGCATACACTTTTCTTTCCTCAGTGCAGACATTTTCTCCCAGAAATAGTACATTGACTTCAAATTCTGTGTATTGGGAGGGAGACACTGGGGAGTTGCCCCTCGATCGCTGTCATTGCTCTCCTCGGTCCCACCCGCCCCAATATCGATTTCCTTCATGCCCTTGAGCAATTTTTCATAGGATTGAATTGTGAATAGGTTCTTCATCACTCAACTCATGCGTTTGCTGCTGCAAGTGCAGCATGGTGTGCACTGCGCATGCAGCTATCTGCAGTAACTCATTTCGCTACCCTTACCAGGACCTGTGTCTTTCGTCCACTTGGCCAACTGCAAGGCCGATGCCTCGTCCATGATCTGCAAGCTGGTCCCCGCATACAAGCAGCTGCTTTCCGAGCTCAAGGGGCTTGGTGTCCCGGAGGTGCAGATGCATGAGCCTGCCCTCGTCTTCGGCAATGCCAACGACTTCAAGGACAGCTGCGAGGCAGCTTACAAGGAGTTGGCGAGCGCCGGCATGTCCATCAACCTGGTCACGTACTATGATGACATGAAGGAGGACGTTTTCGCCTGGGTGACCAAGCTGCCTGTGTGTGCGATCAGCATGGATTTCTGCGGTGTTCCCGGAGTTGAGTTGGGGAATGAGACCATGGAGATGATCAAGAAGCACGGGTTCCCGAAAGACAAGAGGCTCGGGGCAGGTAATGTTTCCTGTCCCCATGTAGTGGACATGATGATGAGCATCGGGTGTAATGGACACGATAACGAGCATCAGATATAATGGACATGATAGTGGGGATCAGAGGGTGCGAGGCGATGAAGCTCACGGGTCTATTATTATGGACCCATGAATTTGGTCGCCTCGCACCCTCAGATCCCCATTATCATGTCCAAAATATCTGAGCAACCTTGCGGCAACACCCACCCAGATTGAACCCCGTGGAAGAGGACGGGCAGGATGCCCCATCGTTGAGCATCTGATCGTAATTATGTTGTGATGCTCAACAGCGAGACGGCCTGGGTGTCCACTAGCACTGGGCTCAATTGGGTTGGAGTGGCAGCAGGGCGGCCCAAATTGGGCCGTTGTTGATTATTATCTGCTGACATGCTGCTGCTGCTGAATGCACTGTCTTGTTTCTGAATTGTTAAGCAGGCCTCTCACTGGTCTATGCTGGTCTGCCAACGAATGTTGCTTGGCAATCATTCGATGTAAGAACACTGCAGGGGCATCAATTCCTACCAAACACAATTTCCCAATCTTGGGTATAGCCACAGGCTGTGTATGGATTCTTGGCCATAAGCACGCTCCAATTGTGCAATGCCTTGCTTTTATGTTCATTTTCAGTTCCATCTGGAAATTCGGCAGGCGTTGATGCAATGTTGATGAGGGTTGATGCAAGGGGGGCATTGAAAAAATGGCCCTCAATGTTGGTGTAATACGCTTGAAACAATGGCTCTTGGCGTCGGCGTTTGTCAACCCTCCAACAAGGCATCTTGATGCAGCATTCCCTAACAAGCAGTGTTCCAGCAATGCTGCATCAACGATCCATTTATCAGCCCGGAGATGCAGCCAGAAATTTGGCAGGCTTTGATGCACCATTGATAGTCTCTTGTATCAACGCGAACCTTCGGAATTCGTGCCTGCAGAGCGGCGTTGATGCAATGGCCTATCAATGTCGTAACAACGCCTGCCAGATTTCCAGATGTACGGCATGTTGAATATAACCACTTGTTGTGTCCATTCCTTGTTTATTCATCCAAAGCCCTGCGCTGCATGCAGCAGGCTGCTGGGCACATGCTCCCGCTTTCCTTGCAGAAACTGGTCCCTTTCCCGTGTGCAGGTGTGGTGGACGGTCGCTCCGTTTGGGGCAGCGAGGGCTCTGCTGCAAAGGCTCTGTCCGAGCTGCAGGCACTCGGAATCACAAACATCTGCGTCCAGTCCTCCGTCTCGCTGCAGCACCTTCCATACACGCTGGAGGATGAGAAAGCCCTCCCTGAGGACGTCAAGGGAAGGCTTGCCTTTGCCGTCGAGAAACTTGCAGAAATCGTGAAGGTATGCGGCCCCTAACCCCCTTCCGCTCACAGCCAGGGCCAGCGATGACCCAAGACCACCACATGCGTCCGTACCAGCCCACACATTTGACGTAGGATGAAACTCAGCTGCACCTTTTGAGGAATCCCACGGTTGCTCCAAACTGCATGTGATCACACCCATTTGAAATAGACACGACTTTCTTCTTCACTTCCTTTATTTCGGAGTGAGTGCAGACGCCAACTGGATGCATTGGAATGCCATGAATATTCACGGCATTCCAACGAATCCAGTCGATCATCCGTAGCGCATTAATGTTGATGACAGCATTTCAATGAAGGGAATAATGACTCGAAGGCTGGACAACAAAGGTACCCACAAACGAGGCGATTTGTACCTTTACGTCGCATTCACTCTGGAAAGCATCAGGGCCACGAGGCAGTCCTCAGGTTTGCAGTGTGCGCTGTGGTCCCATTTTGATAACCAAAGCCACATGCGGACGATTATCAGGATTAGTCATGTGTGATGGAGTGTGGCAACGCAGGTGGCATGCGGGGGCGTCCCTGAGTCCGCGACCGTCCTGGGTTCAACCAAAGTCGAAGTTGATGCAAAGCTCTTCGACCGCCCCTTGCCCTTTGCAGAGCGGCGATCCAAGCAGATCTGCACGCCTGCGTTTCCCACCTCCACAATCGGCTCCTTCCCTCAGACGTCCGCTATTCGGTCCGTAAGGATGAAGTTCAAGAAGGGGGAGGTCAGTGCGGAGGAGTACAAATGCCAGATGACGGGCCACATTGCCTACGCAATTGGCGTTCAAGAGGCGCTTGGGCTGGATGTATTTGTGCATGGAGAGGCCGAGCGCACGGACATGTGAGTTGTGAGGAACGTGTTATTTGCGGCCGGCGCTTCTTTCAGCATGTGTGCTCATACGTGGAATGAAACGCAAGGGGTTTGCACAGTGGCCGTTCATTTGGAATCCATTGGCGGATATGAAAACTCTTGTGCCATTTTGTTAAACGCAGAATTGTGCGTGTTGATGGGACAGTGAGGTGCTGTGTCTGGTTTCTTTCAGTTGTTCTCGTGACATCATACGCACGTGAAAATATTGCGACAAAAGTCGATGATGATGTGCTGCAAGGCATTTGATTAGATGCTGTGGGAAACTCAGGACAGCATACCAGGCTCTGCTGAGGCATTTTTATTGCGAGGATTTGAATCCAGTCCAAATTAGTACTGGGAACCGCAGACGCTACCTTCAACTCTGGCAGAGGGGCTTGCAGTTCTTGGTGCATGAGATATCGCGTTCGGTAGAATAGCTACAAGTGCCGAGGCTTACATCTCCTCCTCCGCAGGGTGGAATATTTTGGACAGAAGCTTGAAGGCATGTACTTCACTAACAATGGCTGGGTCCAGAGCTACGGTTCCCGTTGCATCCGGCCACCTGTTATCGTTGGCGATGTCCACCGACGTGAGGCCATGACCATCGTGGAGTACAAGATTGCCCAGAGCTTGACGAAGAAGCCAGTGAAGGGCATGCTCACAGGTAGGGAGTTTGAGAACCTCACCGCTAAATAACCAAATCTTGAATGCAGTTCCTTAGATCATCACATCTTTAATCCCAAGAATTATGGGTGTGCTGCAAGGCACAAAATATGCTGGAATTACTGTGCTAGCCCATTGCCGCTGCTTGACATCGTTATATCTATGTGGGTGCGTGCATTAATGGAAGTTGAAATGTGTAGTAGGACATGCTTTTTATACAAGACATTAGGCATGGCCAATTTTCAGTATCATGGCTATTGGCTGTTTTTCCTATGCTTTCATGGATGTGCAAACACACACACACACAGCGGCCTCAGATGTGATGCCACTGTGTCACTCATTGCTAAAAATTATTATGAAATATGCGGAATGAAAGGGGATTTTCTAACAGCAGCCAAGCGTGAATCCATGCAATTTCCTGGGTCTCAGTACATGCCGTCTCCCCATCTACATTTTGCGTGCACGAGGCGAGATGGCATGTACTTCAACTGGGGAAGTGCATGGACCCATACTTGACTGTTGAAAGCAAGTCCCCAAACTTTTCAGGATCTCTTTGCACATCGAGTTTCCTGACCAGATCCACCCTATCTGCGCACCTGCAAGAGTGCAATAAACGTGCTGCGATTGCAATGCCAGGTCCTGTCACAATCCTCAACTGGTCTTTCCCACGCAAGGACATCTCGCGCAAGGCCCAGGCCATGCAGTTGGCACTTGCGCTGCGCGAGGAAGTCAAGGACCTCGAAGAGGCAGGATGCAAGGTCATTCAAGTTGACGAACCGGCGATTCGCGAAGGGTTGCCCTTGAAGAAGGCCAGATGGGATTCGTACCTGTCATGGGCGGTTGATGCCTTCAGGTAAGCTGAAAATACGAGCAATGAACCTCAATGTCCCCACATGAACCAATCATGGAAATGACGCATATGTAACATTTGTACAGTGTACATTGCTGATGAGCACGTACTGCAATATACGCAATGTGCCAACTTAGCAACATACAGTTGTGTTGTTAGTGATGAACTGTGTTGAGCAACTTGACGGCTTGTTTCCTTCAGTTCTGCTCTGTGCAAGGGTTTGATTACGGGGGGTATGAACGTGGCCTGGAATTCCACGTGCCGTTGATGGATGGGTTTCATTTTTTGACACGACTTGCGTTGCAGGCTGTGCTGCGGCGTCGCTGCTCCCGAGACACAGATCGTCACCCATATGTGCTACAGCGACTTCCAGGACATTCTCGAGGCCATCGACAGGATGGACGGTGAGCGGCGTACCAGTTGCATCGCCACGGTGAAAGGCTCTTCGACTGCACTGGAGATGTCAAAGTCGCCGTCATGATGATTTTGGACCTTGCACACGAACCCCATCTCACTTGCCGCCACCTTTGAATATGCACATCGCGCCGTATCTCACCAGTGTCTTTTGAAGTGCATTTGACCTTAATGCATCGTCTTCGGAACAGAAGGATAGATTTCCTGCCTGTGAAGGCAGTGGTGCGGGCATTTGCTGTGTATACCAAATGTGCATATGGGTATGCCCAAATTTGAAAAGGCGGTTATATCCGCTCCACTTGCCTGCAAGCACTCGTTGCAAGTTTCTCTACCAACACAGTAAGCTCACAGCGCAGGGGGAAGATTTCAAACCAGCACAAATTAGGCACTGAAACCGTCAAGGGTTATTTCACTCTGATGCGTGTCTTGGCATTACAGGCAACGAGGCCGCCTATGCTGAGCCATCATGGCCTCAGATTTCCATCTGTAAATGAACTTTTAATTTCTAAATGAGTATAATTTGTAAATGCCTTTTCGCTTGTAAATGATCTTCATTTGTAAATGAGAATCGTTTGCGATTCCCCTTCCCTATCCCTCCTGCTTGTTCAGTTTCCATTTGATATTGACCGGAAATGCCTTACTTATCATTCCTTACTCATTGGATACCTTACAGATTGTTCCTTATTCACCTTGTTGCCTAACCAATCCCGCCGTGTGCGCAGCGGACGTGCTCACCATCGAGAACTCCCGCAGCGGCAACGAGATGATCCACGCCCTGGCCACCTACGGCTACGGCCGCGACCTCGGTGCCGGCGTCTACGACGTCCACTCGCCCGTCGTGCCCACCGTGGACTTCATCACCAGCAAGATCCGATCCTTCATGGAGAGCCGCGTTCTGGAGGGCCACGCCGACCGCATCTGGGTCAACCCGGACTGCGGCCTGAAGACTCGCGACTGGAAGGAGGTCCTGCCGGCCCTGAAGAACATGGTGGAGGCGGCGCGGGTCATGCGCGAGGAGATTGCCGCGAACTAGGAAGGCCCGTTGATGGCCTCTTTGGGTTTTGATGGCAGCGGCGGTCGTGTTGCGTTTGGAGGCCATGTGGCTCGCGCGAGTTTGGTGAATGAATGACGGTAGCAGTCGCTGCCTCTGTGGGGAGCTGTCACTGAATGCCCGTGCGGCGGGAAGGGAAGCTGAGGTCATAATTGGGGGCCGATTTGAGGGCGTTGATGGGCGGTTCGAGGTCTGCTGTGCCCGGGAGTTTGGGAAGCGTGGGGTGGAAGGACTCTATGGCTCGTTGCTGTAACACTGGATTCCCTTGTCCTGATTGTTTTCAGTACGCTAGGTGTGTGGCTAGGCGCCGCCGTCAATTCCGCTACTGTTCTTTGTACTCTTCGCGTCGCCCGCTTCGTGATTTCATTATGCGTACATTTGATTCCTGCATTTCGTTGTTTTTGATTGAATGGATGCCCCTCTCGGCGCATTGGACGGTAGTTTATGGCATTTTTCGCGCTTGCTACTCCATGTGCATGTCCTGGTGTCAGGATTTCGGCTGTTCTCAAGGGCTTTTGAATAGGTTACTGGCTATTACCCTGTTGTTCTTTCTCCAAGCTCCGGCCCGTCCTCAAATGGTTGCTAGCATCTTGCCTCCGGATTGGCAGAATGATCATGCGGAAATCTTCGGCACCAAATTGGCGGGTTGCACCGAAGCTACTCCCTAAACAGGTGCAAGCGCCATTGACCCTGTTGACTGTGTGTCATGCACTCTGTACGCTGCCTCTTGTTGAACACGTGCACTGCCATGTGCGTAAACTGAATCCCTGTGACGTCATGTGACGTGCACAGCCTCCTGTAGAAAACAATAGTGACTTGCACAGCTGGCGTCTGCACCTCCCACGTTGGAAGAGCATCTACTGGCGTCTCGGGATACCCATGAAAATATCTCGCGGGTTCGCCATCGCAAAGTTCAACACAATGGAGCCATTCCGATGTTCCTCGAATATCTCATGCCTTGCCGATGTGGCTTGAAGCGTGCCACTGAATGCGACAAAATGTAATAACGATTCCTAGGGACGAAGTTCGAAGATTCAAGGGCAAGATCTCTGCGAATAAGGGTCCTCTACTCCGAATGTGGTTGATCCACAACTTAAAAGCTTTCCCTTACCCGAATTTAGCTTACAGTACTGCACAGTCGCTCCCCAGGCTATGTGCCATGTGGCAGGGATGCATGAGACGAATTCGTATCATAGGATCCATGACCAGATTGAAATTGCTTTGTGTTCTGTGAATTCCATCCTGGAAGTGAAGCACCAGAAAGGCGCCAACCTCCACGCCGCCCAACGTCCCCTGGATATCCAGAGTCGTCATTTGAAGAGCTGTCATCATCATCATCATCATGATTTTTAACATTTATTTTTGAAGAGCTGTCACACAAGGATCGAAGGACCCTCGAAGGTGTCAGTGACACTTTAGCAAAACACACTCTGGCAAAAGAATTGCAACCTGTCGGAGCCGGCAAAATGTGCCGCCGCGTCCACGCGTGATTGGGTTGACTGAAGCCACATCGTGTGACCCTGGGCCGCTTGTCTGCGCGTTTGTCCGCCTGGGCGTGCAAGGCGGCAGCGGCGAGGAGGGCAGGGAACCACACTTCGCTCGGAGGGGCGCAGCTTAGTCGCCATTTCGTGCCATTTTGTGCCCTGGGGACGTGCAACTGGTTGCTCATGCGAGGGCTCTCAGAGCCCCTTCGCTTGAAAAGTGGACTTCAGAGCCTGCGCTCGGTTGGCTTCGCGGCCGTCCTATCGTTTGGCCTCGGCGCTCCATTTGCCTGCGAATATTTTTGCCAAAACGGCTACATTCCACAGATTCGCTTGCGAGGGACCCACCCCCTCAACGCGTTGACGATGATTCCTGACAGTTCATGACATTTGTCAGCTGACAAATGTGGTGCTTGACATGCTGGCGTCTGCGATTTCTCTTCCTTGTGAAGCGCATTGCATGTTGTATGCGAAAAGAAGTTATCTTACAGGATGCCACTCTTGAATCCAGATAGCAAATCTGGAAGGCATCTGAGTAACGGACTAGAGCCACAAGGCCCTTCGAGGGGCGAGCAATGGACTCGAATCTCCATGTTGAAATTTGTTCCCGGTATTGTGCCGGCGGCGGTCATTGTTGCGCCCCTTTTTTCTTGGATGCCACATATAGCCAGCTGCGAGTTCTCTTCACTTGTTCGCCAGCGCCGCATTTTGAAAATGGCCCTAGGGACACAGTGCGCATCAAATGCTTTTTGTCCCAGCTCAACGCTTAGCGCATTATGCTGCATGATGTCAGCAGTTTGCCACGGTTCACAGAACTCTCGAAATTGTGCGCCATGGGGCATTTTGTGGCAGTGCCACTTGCAGCAATGCCCAGAGAAATTTCTCTGTCCCTTTAAAGGGACAGAAAGTCGAAAGCACAGTCCACAATAGGAATATTCAGTATTGGGAAAGAAGAATATGTGTTGCATGGGGCAATTTACTTTGTATAAAGTGCCGTTGATAACGCCTTGTGTGCTGAGTGCAGCTGAGCAGCTGAGGCGCTGGGTGACAGGACAGGAGGAGCGCCGTTACAACCGGCCGCAGAAAACGGGCGATGGGAAAGGGCATGGTGTCTGAGCCGCCCCGGGCGAACATGGCAGCTCTTCTTTCACAGTTGCGGGACGTGGTGGTGGAGTTTGGTGAGATGCAGGTGGCGTAGCCTGGCGTGGATGGATACCCGTGAGGTTTGCTGTGCAAGGCTGGGGTATTGTCCGCAAGGAAGCGAAAACTATGTTGCTGCGCGTGGTGCAAAACTGCTCGTCTAAACACCTGCAGCACGCTGCCTGTGTGGCTGGTGGATTTCGACCACCTACAGACACAACTGAAGCTCCATATCGTAGTGAGTGGCCGCCTTGGAAGCCGATCGATTTCGATGGCCTTCGGGGCTGGTGAGTCCGCGGTCAAGGCCTCCCTGCCACTGATGATGGGGAAAAGATGCGCAGTCATGCAACAGTATGCCCCTACTCGACGTGGGCCCTGTACAAAATGTGGTCCCATTCCCCAGGCGGCACCCCAATGGAAGTAAACTCAACGAGTAGTGTCCAACGAGCAGCAGCCAGCGCTAAGGAACTCTTGTATCTCAGCGGCCCAACCCCGTCGCGCATTGCACATCCAAGCCCATATCGGCGTCAGACGTCAACTACGAGCGACAGCGCTAGAAATCCAGGAACAACAGCTGCCCGGCTCCAGGGTGCTAACTAGGTATTTGAGTTGCACTTCTGAATGCTGACTCAATGCGGCCTCGTTCCATGTTGTTCGACCCGCTGTCGTCCGAGACTGCGAGACCCAAAGCTCACGCCACTGTGCGTCCATGGCTGCTGGTGCACTGCTCGCATCATGATCTAGTGCGACGGCGTCATTGCCCCCATAGGAGCTTTGCCCTCCATTCGGACAGCCATGCGCACCGGACCCGGAAGTCGGCAGCACTCTTGGCCGTCCATATGCGTAACCTGATGAAGTCCGCCCTGGGCCTTCTCGAAATGAGGAGGGCACCACCTCGGGACCCGGCAAGAGCCTGTGCGAGCACGTGCACAGAGGCATGTGTCAAGTCTCGACGGCCGGGGCGTGCAGGTCGAGGATTCGAGCCGCAATCCAAGTCCCCTCCCCGAGGGGAGGCTCGCAGCTCTGGCGTCGAGCACCCCGGGCAGAGAAGATGCCACTGCCTTCTTGGACTGCGAGCACAACCTCTTATGCGTTCCTCCCCAACGATCCATTGTGAAGCCAACATAAAAGTGGTGGGCTTCATTGCTCCCACTGTAGTTCCGCCCCCGTTGGGACGGCCAGGCGCGCCAGACGCAGAACGTCGGCAGCGCTGTTGTGCGTCCAATCCAAAGACGCCCGCCCTGGCCCTTCCCAAAGCGGAAAGGGTGCCACCCCAAGGCCACCGCCGAGAGCCTGTGTTGAGCTCACTGAGCACGACAGTCTTGATCGACGGCGCATTGTGAGGGGACTATGGCTGCGCCCCAAACCCCCTCCAAGTGGGGGAGGCTCCCGGCTTTGGCTGCAAGACCCCCGGGCAGACGGAAGAGCGTAGATCGTCGAGATGACGCCTGGGGCTTTGCCTGCGCTCATCCCGTTCTCATTGACATGCTTTTGGATATGGCCGAGCTTCTGGAAGGAAGGAAAAGGATACTGCTTCAATTCGAGCACCAGGAAAAAAGGGTAAAATAACAAGTGTTGAAACGTGTACAAATTTTACGGGTTTGCGTTGTTTTCGTGTTTTCAGCGTGCAGAACACCGATGAATTGCATGCATGTGTGTTAGCAAATAGTGTTATTTGGTCCTTTGTCTGCTAGTGCCTTGGAATGGCGGTTGATGGGCTCACTGCGCTGGCTGCTGGACTCGCTGAGCAGACGATTCGTGAACATTGACATCTGGTTTGTCCCCGTCGCTGTGTGTGGTGCGAATTCTCTGCAAGTTTGCGAAGCTTCTCAGCGACATGAAGTGGAATGGAAGCCCATGCGAGTTGCATGGGTTGCACCCCTAGGGTCTACTCATTACGTGCCGCCGCTCCCCGCCACTGTCTCGTAAATTTTCCATGAACGCTTGAGAAACGCGAATAACGCCTCATCCCTGTCTGACACTTTGGTTCGCAAGTAATCCGCTTCTCCGCAGATTTTTGCAATAAATATATGCTGCACACAAATGTATCGCTTGTCCGTGGCTCACCTGGTTGATTCACCACATCAGGTGCACGAAAAGTCCCAAGACTCGGCGCTGTTCAGCCTGTTCGGATGGGAAAGTTGGTCGTGCCGCAGCTCTGGCATCGAGCCCCCCGGGAAGACGAAAGGCCACCGTCTTTGTGGACACCGAGCATCGGTGGAGGCCCCCTCCAACGCTTTCCTCACCCTTGGATCCGTTGCGTAAACAGCAATGAAAGGCAATTGGGTCATTGCCTCTACAGGAACTCCGCACCCGTTCGGACAGCATACACGCCAGGTACGGACTGTCGGCAGCGCTCTT